GGGGCTGCCCTCCGCCGGTCGTTTTTTTGGCGCCCGTACTGTTTGGCAGAACCAAACTGCCGCCTGCCCCCCGCCTTTAACGCTCGGATTTCGTGATAGCACCGATCAGCACGTTTAGGAGCCACCCGCGATGTTGGCACGGGCGGTGCGTGTGCCCCGTGTGCCTCGAGCTCGTGTAAACGGGAAGGTGGCGGTGGGAGATGGGGGTGATTTTTATGGTAATTTCCTGCCCAAGTAAACTTTGCGCTACGGAGGAAGAACTCCCACAAAGCGAGCCTCCTGCTCCCAAAGCGTGTTTGCCCCCGGTTCCCGAGGTGTTAAGGAGTTTTGGAATCTGGATTTTGTTGTCAAAATACTCCTGTCGTCCCTGTATGTGAATATGCTGTTTATTTTGTGTTCTCTGTTACTTCTTGCTCAAGGAAAAATCAGCAAAGTGCTCAATAGTTTTGTGCTTGTTTGTTTTTTAAAGGGGTGGGGCTCTTTTTGGAGTCTTAAAATATTAATCTTCACTTCTGGTGAAATGCTAAACAAAGGCCTTCTTAATCCAAATTCTGCAAGCATAGCTCTTATGTCCATAGCCCTTGCGTAAGGCTATGAATATGAGAAGTGCAAACAAAACTCACTCATTTTTGAAATTGAGGACAGATTACAAGCTTTCTCATTGTCTCCAGAAGTAGCTGCTGTTGCTGGATGAGCCAAGCAGCGTGGCTCCCTGTGTGTAGATTCCTCTAGCCTAGCCTAAGGGATTTCTCAGTGGCATTTCCGTTGCTTTGGGAATTTCCTGGATGTGCCTAAAACAGGACCTATTGCATCCCTTTTTTTAAAAAAAAGAACAGTTTCCTTTTGCTTTTCCTGAAGGCTTTAAGCAGTGAGTTCTGCTACTGACTGTTAAGAACAACGCCCTGAAATTTCATCCCGTACTATTCCGGAAGTCTTCAGCTTTTTTCATTTAATTTAAGATTGTGGGAACCTGTTCTGCAGCCAAGACTGTAAGAGAGCTTTGGGTCCAGGTGTGTGCAGAGGTCCAGCGGAGAAGCTAGGACTCTGCGTACCTGCGTGAGTCCGTCGGCCCCTGTTCAGCCTTAGATGCAATTTCTTCATCTCACCTGCAGTGCTTTTGCAGATAGTTATCTAAATGAGTGTTAGTACTGCATGATTGAGTATCCTCTTGTAACTTTGTGTGTGTGTGAAGGCACTTTGTTATCTCACATGCTGCTGCTACTCTGAGCATCTGAGTCCAGGTGGTGTTGACTTATTGAGGAAATGAGATTCCAGGTTCCAAACAACATACAGTTGAAAGGGAGAGATGATGGAGATGGTAATTGTGACTGCAAGTATCATAATATCTTCCTTCAATGAAAAGATTAACTAGTTCTGTTGTCTTTTCCTCTCTATAAAACTTTGATTCTGCAGTGCTTGATTTGGGTAGGAGATCAGGAATACAAACACAAACTCTTTACTGTGGTTCACTAAACTAAATCAGCAAGATTTCACACCCTCTTTTTGTTTGTATGCTTGCATTATTGTTATTATGTGTGTTGCCTATGTGTAAATGTTATTATGTTAATTTTATCCATGTCCATATGAGAAAATCAAGACTCTCAAAGTCAGACTGATTTGCCCAAGTGCAAAAAGTAAATCAGTAGCAGTTTGACTTGGCATGCAAGTTTCTAGCCTCACAAACACCTGCTGTAAGCACCAGGATGCTGCTGGTAGATCCTCATCCTCTGTCAGCCTTCCCCTCCTGAATCCCTGCCTTCCTAGCCTCCCTGCTTCTCCATGCAAATTCAAAGCACTGCACCTATCCCAGTCTTGTGTCATGAACATCTGGAAATGGGTGGGAGAGAGAAGCACATAGCATAATCCGTTCTGAAGAGGTGCTTCATTTTCCTGTGGGAACCTGGGACACACAGAAGCTGCACTGTAGCTTTGGAATCTTCAGAATCCCCACTCACCACGTAGGGATGGCTGCTTTTCATAATGCCCTGTCAGGTCAAGTTTTTGTCTGATAAAACCTCAGACTTCTAAATACAATGCTTAAAATGCAAACGTCGTGAATGAAGGACTTTGATTTTTGGACCTACCAAGATCACGCGCCTTCAGTCATTGGAAATTCAAACCAAAACTGTGTTCAGTTTGGGGGTCGTGGAGATTGCATGTGGGTGGAAAAAGCCAGTGTAGTATCTGTTGAAGGAACCCGCAGACAGATGTCTGCACCCTCCCTGTATGAGGTGAATAAGTTGTTGGCTACCACAGCAGCAGGAGGACGGCAGTGCCAGCCACACTGGTGGGGACCTTCTGCTGCACTGCACATGGCAGCCAGACTCCCAGTGACTTAAGCAGAGTTGGGATTCCTCCTCGAAAGCAGAGAGGATAAGGGAGGTAAGCCGGATGAGTGAACTGGAACACCTCCAAGCATTCTGTGTCTGTGAAAGCTGGGGAACTCTTCCAGTGGTCTGAGCATCAACTCATTTTTAAGCCGTATTACTGCCTTCCAGTTCTTACATATTTTGCTAGGTTCCTTAGAGCTTCATTTCCCCATTCAATTTCTTTTATAAAAAACTGAGTTAAAGGGAGGCAACCTGGTTCACCTAAGAGCAGAAGTTACCGTATACAATATTGAGCATGGGCTGACAGGAAGGTATTTGTCTTTCTGACTTCTGGAAGTGACCGACACCTTAAACATGGCTTTTTGTTTCCTTCCTTTTAGACAGTTTGACAGGTTTGGGCTGATTTTTGTTTTAAAATTTCCTCATTTCTTTCTCTACACACACAAATATATATTCCTGTCTATTTTTTCATGGATTGTAAAAATATCAGGATTGTTCTGTGTTTTTTCCTGTGTCTTTCCACTTCATGAGAGATGTCAAGGAAACTATGTCACAAAGTGTTGGGATGAATGGGTGGAAATCTGGACTCCTAACAAATTCGGGCCAATTGTAGAATGTGTTTAGTTCTGCAGATTACTAATAGAAATGTTAAATTCAGTTTTAAATGGAATGCATGGAAAGAATTTTTCTAGTCATCAGCTGTACAAAACTGACACCTGATTTTGTTGTCCTGTTGCCTTACTCTTGAATCTTCCCAATACACAAAGGAAGCTCTAAATTTCTCACAAAGTGAAAAAAAAAAAAAAAAATCCTCTGCCCTTTGCTTAAAAACTCTTGATAAATCCTTGCCTCCGGAGCTGTGGCTGTTATATTGTATTAAAGGCAAAAAGGGAAAAAAACACATTTTTTTGCCTTTGATATTTAACACTACAGGATGCACACAGAGTGAAAAATATTACTGATAGTTTCCTGGCTTAATGTGGTCAATGGTCTTAGTCCTTAGAAAGCCAGGAGCATCTCTGGATTACATGGACAGACTTCTTTGATCTTGAGAGTTGACAGTGTGGTTAAAAGTGTTTGTGGAAAAAAATATTTGATTGCTTATATGAATTTGTCCTTTTCTTTTTTAAAGTCCTCCTGTGAGTTTACATATTGGCCACGTTCAGCATGGTGTGGCTGTAAGCTGTCTGGTGATACAGGGGTTGGAAGAGCCGTAGGTTGTAGTCTGGAGTACATTTAAGCTGGTGTTGAACAAGAACAGTTCTTCTCTCTGTGCCATCCGTTTGTGCCATTCTTTACAAACAGAACTGCAAAGATGATCTGTTTGAAAATGAACTTGGTGGAAGGAAAAAAGTTACTGAGACAGATTATTTTCTCAGTCCTGATCGTACAGCTACATAAAGACTGTGCTAGTATGGCATAGATGTGTTATCTGCATGTTGGGAGTAGGCAGCCAGAGGGTTTGAACTGCTTTTTTTTTTTTTCTAGCAGTTCAGGGTAGGCTTAAATGCAAGTCAGCAAAGCCCAGAGGTGGAAGATAATCGGTATCTTACAGGATACAGTGATCCTCCCTAATAGCTCACCATTGCCAAAAGTGGGGATTCCCAGTTCCCCCTCTCTCTCTCTTGCCTCATGCTGCCACTGTTGCCGAAAATCCGGAATAAGAAACTTATCAACACCAATGGGATGTAGATAAGCAGACACTTCTTTATTGCGGCGCCGGGTGCACGGGGGATATCTCCTCCTAGCGTGCGCACCTTGCACCAAAATTAAACTTCTTATATAGAGCTTACACATGCATAAACAAATTATTTCCTGAAAATCATTAGCATATTCTTCCCCTATTTCCGATTCATTTCATAGATTTCATAGATTTCATAGATTTCTAGGTTGGAAAAGACCTTAGAGATCATCCAGTCCAACCATCCCTAATCCCCATTAAACCATATCCTCAAGTAGTAAGTTCACGGTTTCTGGTAATTACCTCATGGTTTCTTGGCAGGTACCCATAAATCGTTACAGCTGGCCTTCTTCATTCTCATTAATCCAAACCTTGATAGCTACATGCATTCTTCTAGTTCTATGTAAATATCATAAATCAATTGGTAGGTCAACTTGTACTTGTTATCTAATTTCTACATGATTCTAACTTATCCCTTCGGTCTTTGTACAGGATTATACAAGGAATTTCATAGCAGCATCTGGTTACTGTATGAGCATACTTTTCATTGAAATATTTCTTAGAGCTTTATATTATTAAAATCAATTGCAAACTATATTAATTACCAACTATTGATTAAATTCTAATTACTAAAATTCTAAGTATCAGTAACACCACGTGTTGGCCTGGACATTCACTGTACTTAGCTCATTGCATTAATAGCAATGTAATTTGTCAAAAACTCTATAAAGTTCATGAATGGTGTTGGTCCAGGCAGGACCCTGAGACTGCTAAAAGGAGGACAAAAGCAGGTGGAGGGGAGGGAGAGCGGGATGTCCACGCACACCCAACCCCCATGGGTGAGCTCATATTGCAGCCTGCTCCTATGCATGACCTGAAGAAAGACCTCATGGGTTATGTTCTGGGTAGGAGAACTAGCTGAATCTAGGTTGCCTCAAAGTACAGGCAGTGATATTCCACTGTATAAAGCTGAAGTTAAGTGATGAGGTTATCCTAAGTTTGTATATGCAGAGCGTGTCACGCTCTAACTGCAGAACATCCAAGTAGGATTTTATGTGCTCTCTTCCCACCGATGCCCCATATAGTGCCTCGCACAGCAAAAGGAGATTTGGAAACAACAGTCCTGCAGTAACCTCTTGTCTGTATGGTGAATTTGCTGGAGTACTACGCTGTTAGTGCACTTTGACTTCCACGGAACAGAGGAAGT